ATATATATATACATATACATATGCATCTAATATCTGTCTGACCAACATGCAACCCAGCTGGTAGAGACTGCATGCCGCACCAAACACACCTCTCGCAGCACTCTTGCAAAGCTTTGCCTCTGCCCTTGCTTCAAAGAAGCGCTGATACCTTGAGAAAGAAGAATGCTTGAGATGCCAGGCTTGCTATGTTCAACAAAGGTATAATTGATGCTATGCAGGCCTGCGAAACTCAAGCTTGGCCCGACCCCAGAAACATAGTCTCATTGGTTGTTGTTTGCTCTTTAAGCTCAACTTGTTGGGTTTTCTCCTCGCCATCTGGAATGGACAAACTCTGAGCTGCAGCTTCCTTAGTTTGGCGACGATCGCAAGTCTTCCAAGGTTGAAGTTGCTGAGTTTGGCAGGCAAACAAGCCGGCAAAACAACAGTGTCAACTCGACTGATGTCCAAACTGAACTGTTTTAGCAATGTGCTGCAGCCATGTCGTCCGGCTTCATATGTGAACCATGGCAACGTGCTGTGAGGCCTGTGCATGAGAAGAACCGCCTGAAATGCAAAGCAGCAAAATTAACTATCGAGGCGGCAGATGCGAAGGGGAACTGCAGGTCCAGTTGGGTTCTTGATGGTTTTGTTGTCTGTTGGAGTTCGCTGCTTCCGTCAGATTACACTGTAGCGCTGCTTCCCCATTCAAAGGCGGCTTGATGTGCCGGAGACTTGACGGATTACGTTCAAGCCCCAATCGGTGTCAGGAATATGAAGGAGTCTTTGTCTGCTGGCCCCTCTTTCATCAGTTTTGGCTTCCTGCTCTGCTTCCGGTCAACTCGCACTCATGCAAGAGTTTAGATAGTTTAGTAAACCACTGCGTTGAAATTTGCGGTTGTGCGCGAATGTTGCTGAGGCCAGCTGGCTGGGCGTGGAGCGCATTGTAGCAATGCCTCGTGGAGAGGACAGTCACCAGCCGGAAAAATCAGGCATCCTCAACTAGACAGCATCTTCGAACGAGTGCCGTGCAAGTGCTCTTGTCCGTCAAAGTTTGCGAACACCGCGCTGTTCTCCTTGCCGTGGAGACGAGCTTGACATGTCGGGAAACAGAGACCGCAACACAGATAGGTTGGAGCTCGAGGAGCAGTGGCTGGCTTGGAAGGGATGCAATGTGAGATGAAGAGGCTCTTGTGAGACAAAACATCTCCTGTCTCGAGACAGTCAAGACAATAGTTGTTTGTGCACCTCCGTGAATCTTTGAACGAAGTCCAGGAAGCCCTCGTCGGTCAGCCTCATACAATGACACGGGAAGACTCCAGAGAACAGGATACAGTTTCGCACCACACACAGAATACAGTGCATGACACAGGCATTTCAAAAGCAGTCCAACACAATGCCCAACCCGCCTGTCCACCAGTTCACGAAGCTGCTCGTCATCCAGCGGCACACCGGTCTCCACCATCGCGACAGAAATGTTGCGAGTGCGCCGGTCTTCTCGTACAATGTATCCGCTGTACAGATCCTCGAGCCCTACAGGTAGGCCAAGTAATGCCCTTACTGTTGAAACCTGGCTCGGAAAACTTCGGCCGGCGATGGGTGGCAAGCATGATACGCCAATAACGTCGCATCGTATCCAATGCCCCATCGCATGCGAGTTCACCGACGGAGCATCACATGCCTATGTATCGTCTTTTCTTCCTCATCATCATCATCACCCTCACCATCACCTACATGAAGACCATCACTAGCAAAACACACGAGCTGCAGGCATCTTTCCGCGGAAGACATTGACTCAGCAGCCCTGAGGTCTTTTGAACGATGCCCCCGCAATCTGCAGCTTTGTAAACTGCTGCTTTGAGCACAAGTGAAGGCTTCTTGGTTTGCGAGGGGAACCCGAGCCAGGCTAGGATGGAGTGGAGGCCTTCCTGCCTGCAGCGAAGCCTTTAGTCGGAAGCTTCGGCGAGCTCAGGTGAGCTCTTTGAGCTCGTCATAGTCATAGCCCCTCTGAAAGTCATTGGAGTAAAACCCTGCATTCCGGGCCCACATGCTGACGCCCATCTGCAGCTGTAAAGCCTGCCCACTTCCCGGTCTGGGCCATGGACTTCGTCGATCCCTGATCGTTCCAGCGGATTTCCACGCGTGCATCCACAAGGATTGAGGCCCTGCAATGCACTTGGAGAGGCGACAAGCGGACGCAAAGCACTCGGAGCCGTGGACCCGGTGCGCTGTTCAACTCTGAGCCGGAGCCAATCCGGGATGCGAGCCTGCGTCGCGGAACGCAAACAGGAGGGCTTATACGCAGTGGAAAGGCATTCGAACTCATCGTAGCGGCATATTGGTGGTGCACGAACTTAGAGACAGTTAAAACGACATCCATTCTCACGCACCAACTGCTTCGAGGCCTCCGATGCTTGCAATCACATCGATGCCGGCACTTCCGTACTTAATGGAGCCTTGGAAAAAACAGGGCGTGCCGGCTGGCAAAACAACGGGGCAGGCTGGTGCCGGGCAAGCCATGCGTCTGTACCGAGACAAGTCGTGCTGTGTACCCATCTCTGCCGCCTCTGCCTCTTCCCTGCGGCCTCAGAAAGAAGCAAACAAAACAAAGGCGATGAAGAGAAGCGAGGCCGCGACAAGCTAGAAGCTCCGAAAGGAAAGGACCGGAGCTGCCACTGAGACCTTCAGAGCAAGAAGCAAGTTGGCTGAGGGGTGTCCAGTGCACCAAGTTGCGGACTCTGCAAGAGGCCATGGGCCTCCAGCTAATGGACACCACTGCCCACTCGGCAAAACAACCAAACGGCTCAAACTTCGTCACATTAAACCACGATGCTGAGACGGCGACATTTATGGTCATCCCGAAAGTCCGTAGCAGTGCCTCTAGACTCTACACGAAGAACCGCTGTCGCAAAAAATGTCTGACTCTCGCTTGCAAGCTACGGCTACTGCCGGTGGAACGAAAAGAAGACTACTAGCTCGTCCGTGTCATTGCAGACAGTGTCTCCAAGCAAGTTTGCGACAATTTTCTGTAGGCGATGCTGCACTTTGTGCGCAGATTGGACAGCTTGGCTGTGATGGGCCTCAAGATGGAGCAGAAGTACCCGGGCTTGTTCAAAGGTTGCGGCAGCAACCTCACAACACGGATATGCAAGGTAAGTCGTCTTGAGATATGCTACGGTTGTGCGAGGGTGCGGCCCAAAAGGTTGGGGAATGCTCTTTCTGTCGAGGCTGGTACCTTTTCCAGCTGTATGACACCGTGCTGTCAAAATCAGCTTCTGGGCGCACGTCGCAGACGTCGCAGACTGGCCGAAGGACTGCAGAACAAAGAGATTGGCAGGGTTTACAGCAACCTGATGCAGCCACATAAGCTGCAGCGGCTTGAACATCTCTGGCAAGATTCCTACGAAGCTGGGCTCTTCGACACCCCAGCCCAAGCCAGGCCCATGTAAAGCACCAAGGTTTACCTCCATACAAAGAATTCGGAACTGTCCCTACGTCCAGGGCCCAGATACCTCGTGCCATAGCTCTCGAATTTCCACAATCCGTGGCTGCGTGGCTTGGAGCAGCAAGAGCTTCACATCCTGTGATTGCAGCAGATGTGCAGCAGATGCTACGGGCACAGAAGCCTTTCATGCCGGCCCCGCACCTGCTCACCAGTCACTCCCCCTTGAAAGTAGTGATCCAAGGCCTTCGCCACTGCAAGACCTGACTTGATGTGGAAGCTGAGCATCGAATAAAGCTGCTGCGTGCGCGCCTAGGTCCTGTACGCGTGGGTCTGCAAGATGTTCGAGGATGCCTCATGGCTATCACAAGGCAAACACAATGTGACATCGGAGTTTGCCTGTGGACGGTCCACTGCTGGTGCGTTGTCGTTGCACTGGAAGGTTGAACATGCGATCTGGCCGATGAGAGATGAAGTGATCAAAGGGTGGAAGAAGGCAGAGCTCAGAAGCTGCCGAAAGCAACAAGAGTTCAAGACTGTCGGCTCAATGGGCTTTGACACAGGCCTAATCTCTTGCGGCGTCCAAAATCACAATGAATGATGAAAACTAGCCGGCAAGCCCAGCAGCTGATGTTCGCTAGAACCATTACACCAAGATAAAGCACACCACAAGAAATGCCTAAGCGAAGGCTCTGGCTCAAAGCTGAGGAGCTCCTTAAGAAAACCAAGGCCCGGACTGACGAAGGCTTTGAGCTGTCCTTCCGTGAGAGAGAAGGAATCCAGCTCCTGAACGCAATTTGTTTAAGACCTCCTATGCCTTGGCACAGGCGTCATCGTTGAGCCGGCATGTACGCTTCATGTCTAGACAGCAAAGCTGCCCGACTTTGGCTCCTGTGCGAGGTGGCCGTGATGCTGCATTGAGGAGCCTAGAACGGCGCGATGGGCACCCTTTTTTCTTGTTGTGCCCCGACTCGAGGGTGCAACTGACATTCTGGAAAGTGCTCCGCACGGCTCCCTGAACCTGTAAATCACATCGTCAACTGATATGGAAAGCTTCAAAAGTGCACACCGGGGGCGAAGCGAAGAGCTCTGTGTCCCGCGACGAATTTGCCTGCCGAGACCGATCAATCAAGATCAAAAAAACACTACTCCATGAGGCATTCCATTATGATTTAACTTTTCTCTGGGGGCGACATTCCCCCCCCATACCACGACCTGCGCACAAGCCTGACACGCACTAGCTCGCCCACTGAGGAAAAGCGAAACATGCAAGGACAGCACGGTCAGTTCGGCCGATGCGATCACCTAACCAGACGTAGAGCTTTTTAGCTTCGCAGTGTGCATCAATGTGCATCAGTTGTGGATGAAAATAAGACTGAGTCGTCGTTGTCCCGGTTGTCCCTTCTAGGTTTTGTGTTTATGCAGTAAGATCAGCACATCAGCTCAATGCTATAAAGGGAGGAGAGAAGGATATGAACACGTTCTTCTTATTAGCTAGTCTTATTTGTTGTTGTATTACCTGTATAAGACACAGCAAAGACGCAAAGACAGACAGAGCACAAGCAAACATGGCGCAGAGCTTTGTGAGGAGAGAAAATCTTTCCGCTTCAACCCTTTTGCGTAGTCTTGCCTGTTCCGACCTCAATTACAGACCCAGTACCTGTGGCTACCCGATTCTTGCAGTAATATTCATTTTATTAGTGAATGTAACTTTTTCTTGAATTCGTTCGAAGTTGTGTCGTGCCCTTCCCCCCATCGACCCAAAGCAGCTCTTTGCATGCATCGTTTCACCATTCTTTACAGCTACCTCGTTTCCGTCTCCGTTGCCCGCAGGCCCTTTTGTTCTGAGCTTTTCGTCCCTAAACCCTAAGCCCTGAACCGCAACACTCATTCCCGTGCTGCACTTTCAGACTCATGTTCGCTTCGTCCTGTCATCTGCACTGATGTTGCTGGAAGTGACATCTCCATTATACCTCCTGTTTGATTTGCCACTGGATCTGCGGTCTACAAGCGCAGTTGCCATGACCGTTTTGCCAAGACCATGTGCGACATGTGCCACGATTCTGGAGGATCTCAAATCCTCTCACCCGTCGAATCCATGTGGAACCTTGGCAAATGACAGGCCCGCACCTCGTCTGAAGACCAGAACAAACTCTCAGCGGGAACCTTCCATGTAACGGGTTCTTCTAAAAAAACTCTGACCAATTCAACTTGGTATCAGGAGTCAGCACTAGGTGCCTGCAGCAACGCGGTGAGGCTGGAGGCGGCAACAGAAAGGATCTGCGAGCTTCCAAGCAACTCCTCTGCCTGAGCCATGAAGGAGCGTCAGTGACCCTCCCGCCGTCCAGACTTGGGTTATGGCTGTCATGCCGGCTGGCTTCGCGTCACTGGACCTTAAACATGCTTGAGCAGTGCGCAGAATCTGGCACGGCCTCCCTCACGCGAAGGTCAGGGCGTTGAAGGTGGTGGCTTCGGGGACAGAGAGATGCCCGCAAAGACTGTGGCACCCTCGGTGCAACTCGAGATGTTTGAAAGCTGGAAATCAGGACATGTCTAGGGCCTACCAGGGCCTGAGGCCAGCGCAATGAGGAAAAGACCAGCAGCACCTTCCGTCCGTTCCACTAGCATAAAAGCGAACGACCGGCAAAGTCTCGAGACCAGCTGGGCGGTCCACGCCAAACTAATACAAGTGGGACACTGGTGTCTCCGGCCGGTGCCTATTTCCGGCCTCTGCCCTAGGCTAGACACTAGTATAGGTGGTACGCCGCGGCCCGCAATCAATTAATATTCACCCCGCGCTCCGCGCAAAAGACCAAGCAAGCTTGTGGCCGAAGCCACATGGCTACGGGGCCGGGCTGTCCACCCCACTCTTCCTTTTAAACCGCGACTTTGGTGCATCTGGCCCTGTTTCGGGCCTTCCCCGTAGGCTAGCCTTGTGAGAGGCGAACCAAATTGTAAAATAGAAGCTTACATAACTCCTGTAAGACCCAACAAGCCAGTGGGCATACGTGTACCTTCTACACAAACCAATATACGCTTCATGCCGGCGTCTCTATTTCCCCTGTTGGATTGCTTGGTTAGACGCGATTTAAAAAGCCAAATAGAAGCTTCATGGAGCTTTGGTAGTCAATCTAAGACATAAGCTGCACCTGTAGTGGGAGGAAGATTGTTTACAAACCAATGTACGTGGCACACCGGGGCCTGTGGCCAGTAGATATTCCCTAATCGGGTCGCGCCACTGTTCCTTCATTACAAACAAACATGCCCCGCCCGATGAAAAACGATCTAAAGGGCTATGTAAAAGCTTCATTAGGTATTCCTTGTGAGACACCCAGAAAGCTAGCGACCATACCCAGGGAGCTAGAATGCAAACGGCATTCAAAAGGGCAAACGTTTCAGGGAAGATAGGTTGTTTTCGAGAAGCGCGACGAGAGGGTTTGAGGGCAGCAAGGCACAACGGCTCAGCGTGAAATGATCGATCTCACATCGAACAAATCTTCAAAGTGTAATCATCAGTCTGAACATCCGCGGCGAAAGGAATTGAAGGATCGAACGTCCATTTATTCGGCCAAAATCGTCGGCATTGATCGGACGAACGAACAGTCACACACTCGAAAACACATAAACGGGCGGAGTGGGCGAGATAAAACAAATGTTCGGGCAATCGCCTGGAGCCAACATGGCCACGGCAATCGCCAGATCAAAGCTGCTCTTTCGACTGAGCCCTAAATTCCAACCAACGTGACCGTCAATTCAAGCACATGTCATATTTATATATACATACATACATACATATACATACATACACATAAATGTTGAATTCTATATACACGGAATTCTCTACTCACCTGTTTGGACTCAGGACGCTCGGAAATAGGTCGCACGCACAGCAACCCCTCCCCGAATACCTTTTACGAGGGTGTCCCGTTACAGGGAGACTAAGCAAATTCTTCGGAGCTGAAGACATGAAGCAACTGGCCGCCGCACATGCACGCGGTGCTCCCCGAGACAGAACCGGACGGCGCCTTGCTGCAAAGCACAGCAAAAACACCGACCTGAAGCCCACGCCGAAGGACCTGGGAGTACAGGACTTGGCACTCCGCGTCGGAGAAGGCAGCTCTCGCAGACCGGAGCCCCTGATGGGCGATGGATGTACGGTGGAAATAGCTGAACGTGAGTTTTGGCATCGCAGCCATCTGAACATGCACCAGAACATGTCAAACACGAAGAAGAAACAGAAGGCCTCCACAACCTCCAGCAACACCACCTGAGTTCGATAGGAGAAGCCGGCAAGGCAACACGAAGCAGCTGAAAGCGAAAACGGTACCAATGAGGGGCCCACTCATCTTCTTCGCTGTCATCTCCTGCACATGCCAATTTTGATTCAGTGCATCCGTGCATCCGCCTCGGCCGCCGCAAATCAGACTGGTGCCTTCTGAATCCGAAGATCCCCAGCCGCGGAAAACACTTCCTAACAGGACCATACAGCAAAACCATGCGCAAGCATGAGCCTGATGAACTTCGTCAACAGGAATCGAACTGATAAGCAGAGACACGTAACATCTTGCACGTCGGCCAGCCGCAGCATTGGATCACACAGACGCGGTACTGCAATGTCGTGTCGTCACCATGTCAATAAAACCTACATCGCTTCATGCGCGCTCCGACCCACAATGATGCCGACCAAAGCATCCAATGCTATTACTCTTCAATCCGGGTAGCAGAGTGCAAGAACAATCGCTGAGCTGAAGGTGGCATACTCGGTAAAGCTGCCACAGGATGCTTTGTTGAACTCACTAGCTCACAGGCTGACAGGACAAGCTTTGCTGCATGGAACCTCGAAGCATTGGCCACTCACAAGTCTATAGCAGACGATCCATTTTCCAGCACCCTTAGTAGCGAGCCTGTTGTCCAGATTCGGTAACCAGAGCACACAGCGGGATCTAAAACAAACGCTGGGCAACACATCTCGAGCTACGTCGCCACCTGCCGGGGCCAGTTTGGCTCCAGGACAGGATAAGAACACCTCTCGAGCAACACTAGGACTGACCACTCCTCCCATGTATAGCCTTTCGGCTGGTCTGGGAAGCGAAGCCTTGACTCTCACCTGTTCTCACCGTTCTTCGGCGAGGATCAAAGAATCTTCGGACTCAGGTTCCTTCTCCATGCGTCAGCGCCAGACGGGACTTCTGAGCTGCCTGCTCTCAAAAAGCAACGTGTGAGCTCTCCTCCCCACCTTCGAGATCCTTCGAGCGAGACGGCCCGGGCGCCCCACCCCAGTTTCTTTCTGAATCGTCTTGATGTCCGTCTTGTCCGTCGGGACAACCGCCCATGCCTGTCCGGCGGAAGGAGAGCAGCCTGTGACACCTCCCGACTCGCCCTTGACCTGTGAGGCTTTGCCAGCTCGCGGAACTGCACCTTCTGCCAGAATGGTGGCCTGGATCGGTCAAACAGGCAAGGGTGCCACAGCTCCACACCTGCGCAGGCTCAGCGCCAAACCAAATGTCGGCGAAATCGCTGTCTTTCCCCGTCACTCAGGAAAGTGACTTCGAGGGTGGATCCAAACTGAAGTCGAACCTGGACAGCGGAAGTGTGCGAACAGTTGCTGGCCACGGCCACGGAACCCCCGTCCTTGGGGCTTGCTTCGGAGAGGAACCAGACTCCTTGCAAGTCCTCCAAGTCCCAGGGACCGTGTAAGGCCTCGCAGGCGCAGTCATGCGAGTGCGAGCCGTTTTGCACGGAAAAAGCGAAGTCGCAAACCTCCGCAGCGGCCTGGCCTCGCACTTGTCGGCATGGTCATTGGAGGTGGCCACCACACTTTCGCTGAAGTCCGGCAACCGGTCGTCTTCTGAGTCTGTATCCAGGCTTGCCTGGGTAACCTTCCGTTCGTAGTGGACTTCGTCGTCCGACCTGCGATGCAATGCTTGCACGCACATGCACTGCACATGCACTGCACATGCACTGCACATGCACTGCATTGACTCGCACTTGCACCTCCAAAACTTTGACCAGAAGCTGTTGAACGAGACGACCTTCTCAGCTCGCAGAAAACGACACTCCGCTTCAAAGCTTGCAGGGCGGCGCGAGTGACAGAGAGTTTGGCTGTTGAGCGGCAGTTACGCTGCATCGCGTCAGGACGAGCATGTCCAGCTGCGCGTTTAGCCCAAGGCCGCCCGTGCTCTGCACGAATGTTACGCTGACCTCGGCGGCTCTGCGGCACGACAAAGCTCGATCTGAGGGTCAGGGTCTGAATGCTATTTAAGCACATCTGAAGGAGGGGAGACTCGCATCCCATCCCGACGGCTCGTGCAGGCTCCCAAACTCACAGGTTACATCATCGGTGCAGCTGCGACACCAGCGGAATGCCACCCCTGCGGACTTGACAAGTCTCGCGCAGGGACTCCAGCGAGGTAGACTTCACTGCCGACTCCAGAATTCCCCGTGCACGCATCCGGATGGATGCCGTCTCCTTCCTTAGCTCTACATTGAGATACATGACGGCTTGAGAAAGTATTGCGGGCGAAAAGTCGTGCTAGTGAGCCTTCCATCATGTCTGCACGAGGTCAGGAGTGATAGATCGAAGCAACACTGCTGCTTAGGCTCTTTCCATCCTCCTCACCGGTATCTTGCTGCTTGCGCGGCACTTTGCGCAAAACCTAAACTACCGAAATTTGCACTTGCAGGCAAGATCGACTTCGTCTTCTGTCTACCGGTCACAGCCTACTGGCCTACACCCAGGCCTCTTGGAAGGAACGTCGACGTCCCGAACTCTCGAATACCAAACGCTGGAATTTCAATCCTTCGTCTCCTTCCCAGACCAAGCATAGGATCTGGCGCATCCTCGCACAGATGCTCTGAGGGCATGAGGACAAGATCTTGGCGGCCTTTGACACTCATGCTCAAGCACCGAGCAGGTTCAGTGTCCTCAAGTCGAAAATCACGCGCTTCAAGTCTTGCATGTTGCGCGGCTCAGACAGCACGTGAAGATCAGCAGGTTGCGGCATTGCTGATGCTCTGGCCGGCACTCTTAGAAGGATCATGCGGAACCGAGTGGTAGTGACGAGCAAGCACCGCGTGTCCTGACGCAGTACGAACCGATGGCGATCATTCAAGGACAGCCGTGCGCAGAGCATGGAAGCACGGACTGGGACAGGCCTGGATGTCTCCTGCCACCCGCGTCCACACAAATCCGACGGTGGTGACCCTCTCAGTGCTCAGGTTCAACTTCGGGCCACGATGCGAAGAGAATTCGAAGCTTCCCTCCTGCACTCAAGCTAGACATCGCTCAATGTGCCCTTGCATGTGCTGGCATGTGCCGGCAGAAATGTGCCTCCATCATCTGCTGCACGTGGGCTCGAAGGCAATCGGCGCCTCTCTCGGCCTGACAAGGGCGAACAGCATTGTTCTTCTCGTACTATGGCAGGATCGGTCGACTGCTTCAGAGCCCTGCCTGCAGCTGCGCAACGCGGGCTCGGGGAACCAATTGAGCTCCCTCTGTCATGGCTTGTGAGATCGCTTCACAGACGTCGTAGTCGCAGGATCCGGAGGCATCGGCATCCTGACGAGCCCGAAAAACTTGGCCAGCCCCCCATCCCCCCGCTTCTTCATGTTTTAATCAAGAAAATGTAGTCTCCAGTGCAGGGACATCCAGCAGGTGCGCTTCGAGTTTGATGCTCGACTTCCGTGTACATGTTAGTCAAGTCTTTACTGTAAAGATTTGCCTGCGATCCCTAAACAAGAGAAACGTCACAAGGCAAGAAGCACTCGAACGGACCCCGACAGCTCTCTTCCGGGCGAAAACCTGATGTCCAAGGTCGCCGAACAAGTCGGACCGTTCACTGAGGGATGCCCATCGTTGTGACATCTACTAAACCATGTGCGCATGTTGCGGCACCCTGCGGACCAGCCGGTTCTCCACACTCTCTGTGCCGATTCATTAGGATGATCGTGACTCGACAGCTGCGGAGCTGCGCAAGTGCAACCAGCACATGCTGCAAATCTTTCTGTCGTCACAATCTGCGATCCAGACCCCCAACTTAGCAGCAACAACTGGAAACGACACAGCGACTCGTGCAGGCCTCCGTTGGGCCGACTTCGGCGTTGGATTTGCCGGTCAGCGTCCTCAGCCCGAGATGGCAAGCTGGAATATAAAAAGATCAAAGACGAGGTAGAATAGGTAGAGCGGTCGTTTGTGCATCAAAGGCCCTGCCGACGTGAACTGCATAGATTGTAAACAAACATGAATCAAGTCTAATCAATAAAGTTCACAACTTCAGCCGAGTTTCATTAATGCAGCCAGCGCCGTGACGCACTGGTTGATGATTCCCGAGATGACCCGAACAGGAATCTGCACAAAGCACTAATCCGCAAAGGACGGGCCATCTTGAAGGTTCAATCAAGTTCTCCAAGGAACAGGAGACTGCTCAGCTGGTTGTTCCACCCTGACAGACCCTACACCTTGAATCCGGGCCTGAGCTTCCCATCCCCACGAACAAGAACCTCCCAGCAATGACGTGGCCGCCCTGACACTTCGGCCCCGCCAAACTCCCCCATCAAGCTAGACTCAGTTGGAAAGCCTCAATGTAACAGTGTACACTTTGCGGGCGCAGTGCACTGGACTAAATGAACACAAAAAACACGCGCCTCTGTGTCTCTTGTGGCACTTCTGAACGCTATAGCTTCCTCGCAGCGAGTGCTCCGTTGTCTGCGTTCGAGATACAGCGAGCTATCACTCACCAACACGATCACCACCACCACCACCACCACCACTACCACCACCACCACAACTGCCGGCCTTACATCGCTGTCATCATTATCACCATCAGCAAGATTCATCATCATCACCATGAAGAATCACGACGGTGTCATCAACAACAAGGTCACGCCACCGTAACGGATCCCATGTTTTTTTGGGGTTTGGACCTCGAAAATACCGCTCCTACCGACAAAGTTGGACTTNNGGGGGGGGTAATAGGGCCTTTTTTCGAAAAGGCGATTTTGCTTTTTCTCGTTTATATATGGAAAAATGGGTTTTCGCGCGAGTTTTGGACATGCTGACGTGGAAAAAACGATTGTGTTAGTAGTGAAAAGTGGCCTAACAAATGAGGTTTTTTGGGCACCTTTCTGTTGTAACGCGTTTGACCAATGTAGCTAATTGTGAAAATGCGTTTTCGTGTGGGTTTCTGCGTATCGAAAGATTCAATGTGGCTCTTCTTGTGCGGAAAAGCGGGAAACGCCCAATTCCGAAAATGCGGGATCCGTCCGATTTAGCGTAAACAGAAGACTCGCGGGCAAGAACAGACAACGGTAACACAACAACAGAGGAACGCCCCCCCTCACGGAAGTGGACGTCATCATGGTTGCCACATAGATGCTCTGCGGGAATGGATGGAGTTTGTGGGAAATTTATCATGGTTGCGACATGGATGCTCTGCGGTGGCGGAAGGGGCCTATTACCCCCACACCCCTCGCCCCTCCAAGTCCGAGTTTGTCGGCAGGGTCAGGGTATTCATGACCTGACAAGGCGAAAAGCGTGGGATCCGTTACACAGCCGTTACCGACAACGACAACAACAACAACACCACCACCACCACCAGCAGCAGCAGCAGCACCAGCAACAGTGAGCGCGTCATCGCTCAACATTGCCATCGTCGCCACCACACCCAGTCGTGAACGGCCTGGTGCAGGGCATAGAGGAACAAATGCACCAGTGCTTTGATGGTGATGGGCGGAATGATCTCAGCAACAACGGCTGCTCGAGCGTCCTGTCGTGTCATGACCGCGAGTGTTGCACTTGAGTGCCTGCACGAACACACATCCAGCTTGCCTGCGACAGTGTGTTAGCCCTGCGCTTGTCAGCATTCAAGGCAAGGAGGACATTCGTATTCAGTGCATCTCCTGAACGCAGTTGCCACTTCGAGCAAGACGATCTGTCAATGAGTTTTCATGTGAAAAGTGATCCCGTGTCCTTGCTCACCATCATCGACGTTCTGTGGAATCGGAGGCGCCACAGCATCCTTGTGGCTGGGAGTCTGCCCGTTGTGTGGGCCAGCTCTCTCCTAAATCGAGGGGAGGAGCGGGTTTAGCCCCACGGCCCCCCACGCACGAGTTTCCGCGAACGAAAGCTGTCCTTGTCCGAAATGGCCGCAGCACCGTGATGGTGATGGTGATGGTGATGATGACTGGCCTTTGCAATCTACCAAGATGGGGTGAAAATGTAGAAAGAAAGTTCTGTGCTGCATCTGCCTGGTTGGAGAGCGACAAGCATCTCATCTCATTGTCAAAGATACTCTGCACGAGTGCCATACACAGGCTGGCAAAGTCTTGGAAGACCAGCACCTGGCAACTGGAGGCTTCTTTGACGTTTCGGAATGTAAGGCTTAAAACGAGTATGGTGTATTAAACAAAACACAGAGCTAAGGGAAAGGCTTCATGCTTCTACTGAAAGGTCGCATTGAAACGACTGCAATGGGTGCCATGGGGCCTCGTCGCGACTGAGAGGCCGCTGTCCAGCTACACGTAACTTGTCCAGCATAGGCTTTACCTTGGTGCGAATCGGAAAGTCGACGCAATGGACCTCCGACATGCAGAATGGTAAAGCTGGAAGGCCAACTTCGAGCCTGCGTGCCACCATATCGCAGGTGTAGGAACCCACCATACTCAGCAAGTGCATTCTTTCGCGATCGATCGTTGCCAGCTCCCTTTCATGCCGTTCTTGTTCCCGTGGCACCGTGAAAACCGCCTGAAAGGTTGGAAAGCGCCGGGTGTTCGCAAAGGGGTTGAATCTTGCTAGGCCCGCCTCAACCTCGTCCGGCTTCTGGCAAACCCAGAGGTTCGACAACAAAGCGGAACAAAATCGCATGAACTTCTTCGGCAGCAACGCACAAGTCAAATCCAGCTCACCGTCAGGCATTTTCTCTTTTCCTGGGACGGAGGATGAACGTAGTGTCACAAGAAGAGCGAGGGTGCTTCAGAACGACTCAGAAGCAAACACACGGCCAGCACTAGCATATGATTGCGGAAATGTCACGAACGAGCTGCACGGCTGACACCAGCGCGATGATCCTGAAAGCGACCGAGTCTGGGAAAACTCGCTGGTGAGCAAGAACTGCACTGTTTGACTAGCCCGTGCACAGTCTTCCAAGATAACTATGTAGGACTAAGCCTACCCTCCCGATCCTCGGCAGGGAAGAGTGCTGCGTCATTCGCGTGGCAAAAGTATCCAAGACATACCTGCGTTCATTCACGCGAACCGATACAGGCGGCAAGGTCGAAGAATAGCGAAGGTGTCATAGTAGCATCCACGAAAGCTGGATTCTCATCCACCGCACTTCGTGCTCAGTCTTCTTAACAAATTGTGAACGTCAGTCAGACCCCAGTTGTACCATGTTGTACTGCCCCTGATTGCTGCAATCCGGCATCGACAACGAATGCTTGCTGTTTCGGAGTTTGTGCGTCAAACCATCCCCAATCCGGTTCCTAACCGAAGCGTGAGCTCACGTGAACATGGAGGTCGGGAGACTGCAGTCCGAGCCCGGTGACAGAGCTCAACCTAAAGCCGCTGCTGGCCTCCGACCACCAACGCACTGTGGGAACTCCATCATCACAAAAAGGCATCGCAGGATGGCTGCAAGATTCTTGGAGGCCCTCGTCCACAACTTGTGCAGACTTGATGCCTGCAACCGAGGTTCCAGGTTCTACCCCTACCAGCACTCATGGTTGGGCTTCGGCAGAAACAGACCATCGAAGCACTGTGACACGTGCGAGTCGATCAACGGATCGACAAAACGTAAGAGAGCAACTCTGCCTCGTGAGAGGCTGCATACTTGGAGTGTCCAACATGGCCTCCAAATCACAAGGCTCTTGAAACTATGCATGGGTGGGCATGAGGGCGCAGAGGCAGGAGGGGTGTCCAATGTCCGCCAAGCTTCGGAAATGCCCAGCGATGCTCCACATCATCGTCTTGAATTCCGGTGGGACGGTTCGGAAGGACGACCCATGAACATCAAGGTCCCCATTGGAAATCTCCGTTCGCATGTGAGCTTCCATCATTGTCTTTTGAAGAATTTCGTCGGAGGTCTCGAGTGCCAATGTCCTGCGATTTGAGAGCAATCAACTGATGACGGCAAACAGCTGAAAAGCAGCAGCCAATTCAGGTTGCAAAAACCTCTGCGACGTTGAGGACGTCAAGTTTGGCTGGATACTACTCTAGATGAAACACATGCATCTCATTAACAGAATATCTACGAGTGGTGCCGACATGTCCTGATGGCAGCACGGCTCCCGCTGTGTGTCGAATGATAATCGAGTAGCAACGCACCGTCTCTGAAGATCGTAAAGACTTGGCCAGCCTCATGTGCGACCTCACGCGCCACGTCTCACAGTTGCTCACGTAGCAAAACAGACAATATGTGAACGAGCACCACCACTTGCAAAATGTGTTCTTGAGATCAAAACGTCGTTCGGCTCGCTCTTCACGGAAAGCTTCTCGCCGAATGATGTCAAGAAGTTGGCACCCTGCCTGTTTGCAATCCATCTACTGAACATTGCTGAACTATGTGTGACCTAGCACTTGACCGAGGGCAGGTGCTGCGAAGGAGTCAAATACAGGTGGCGCAGTCATCACTGAGGCAACAGGAAAGAGTGAACTGAGCAGATTCACCATGCCCGCCTTACTGTCACGAAATTGGTGGGACTGACCTGGAGTCAACACTACTTTTGCAAACGCGATATCACATCACAGGCGAAGCTTCCCACCGAGCCTTCAATCTCAGAGAGGTTTCTGTGTGCACACTGCGGAACTCGGTCAAGCTGCCCTTCATTCCACAACCTGATTTGCAGGGCAAAGCCGGACTTGATCCAGAGGTAAGTTTGCGGCACACGCAAACGGCGCAGGCTGGATGGCTGGAATCCTTCCATCCAACTGGGTCCGTGTAAACGTGTTGGTTCACAAGGGTTTTTGGTTGCATTCTGTCAGCTGAAGGTAGAACTTTCGATTACAACATGTAAAAGCTTGTTGCGAATCGCAATGTCAGGGTTCGCGGCAAAGGTTCTGGCAGGGATCGAAGTGACGACTATCATCTTGAACCTAGGGATCCCCCAGGTATGCGCGGTCCAGCATGCATGGTTTTCAGAGATCCTGGGTGCTGCAGAAGGATTGGCAGCCCCCCAAACAGAAGCGAAGGTCTCTATAATGGACAGCCGGCTTCTCTACCCTTGGCTTCTCCAAAATGAGAAAAACATGAGAAGGCGTTCACCATCCGACTGAGGAAGGGATTGGGCGCCCAGCACAGATTCGGTGGAGCAGCAAAACCACTCGTCGAGGTTGGGTCTCTACGGCTTGCTCCATCACAGTTCCTATCGGATGCGGCATCTCTTGATGACAGAACGAGCAGCAGCACTGCAAAGATTCTGCAAAGAGCATTCCGAGCTCTGCGTGACAACGCCCGTCAGGGAGGCCACTGAAAGGTCAGGCCCCGTGAGATTGGCGGGCCGCCACTTTCACTGTAGAATACAGTAGCTGTCTCAATCCATCAATCGCGCTCTCAGTGCCTCCCACATCTGGGACCTCACCTGGTTCCAAGGCTCTGAACATGCAGGGCCATGCTCTTCGGCCTGTCGGGCGGTTCAGCCGGGTTTCCATATCAGTGCCGGTGTAAACGGCTTTGGAGTTTCCAAAGTCTGTAATTCGTGGGGTTTCGTCACAATAACTTTGACATTTGTTGGCTTGGCCACACTTTCATCGGAAAAGTTGCCACACTCCCACCACAGTCTCTCGTCTTTCCGCCTCCAGAAGCAACGCTTCCGCCACATGCGCTTGTTCCTCGTGACATCACGATCTCGCCGCAGTGCTCGAATTGAGGTCGCGAATTTGGGACCTTGCGTGCTCTCGCCAAAGTGCGGTCGCAGTTGTCTTGCGAGTCCTCGCAACCAGGCCGCTCACATGTTGCCATTGGTTTGGTCTTCTTCGATCTCCAGGTCAGTGGTCTTGGAAGCGTCCATGTACCGTTATAGGGTGGTTTGTCAGTGGTCTTCCTGTCAAGATCTATGCCGGCGTAATGCATGGCTCTGCGATGTGCAATCGAATCGCTGCAAGGCTTGCAAGGCTTGCAAGCACCTGCAAGACCATCATTTCCCTCATTCTGATGGTATCAGCAACGCACCCTGGAAAACAGATCCTAGTCATGCCATTAAATCTCGATTGCATCTCCTTTGAAGAGACCAAAAATCCTTTTGAACTCTGTAAGACATACGGGACACGGACACGGAGGAACGTTCTAAAGGCTGTGCTTTATATACAAGCAGTTGCCAGTGGTTGCGAGTTGCAAGCGCGCAGAGTTAAAGTCCTAGAGAGGGCGAGTGCCCGAGCAGCTTCAGGCTGGGCGGACTGACGAGGTCTGAACCCATGACCTAATGCTTAGCAATGCTTAGCAGCCTAGCACGAAGACCCTTCTGCATCTGATTGCTGACATGAGACGGCTAAGAGCATAGTCGTCTCTGCATCCGATTGTTTCAACTGTGAAGGTCATGTCGTAGTCCTGCAGCTCCCGTGCTTCGGCACTCAAGGCTCTGAGCTCTGCACTGGCGCCTCTGAGAAATCTGGCAGGCGACATCTTAAATGCCCGCTGGCGTGCACATCCTCGAGTGACACACGACTTGACAAGGCTTCGCTTCGACTGCAGGCGACTGGCACAGCCAAGCATCCAAGTACTTCTGCGTGAATTTGGACTTCAAGCGAATCCGGTCGCCAGTCTTCACCACGCCTTCACCCGCCTGACGCAAGAAGCGCGCAAGAGGGAAGAAGCGCTCCGAGGGAAAGCCCTGGCGCTGGCCTCTCGCTCAATGACAAAGAGTTGGCAGCTCGTCAGCTCGGCCGACTGGGCGAAGACCTCCTCGCCGTCCACCTCTCAACAGAAAGGAGCGCAGCGCTCCGCAGCTCCGGTAACTCCCAGCCTCCAGGTTGATGTCTTTGCAGCGGAGGAAGATTATGTCTGAATGGTGAATGCTTCGGCTTCGCAGCATGGTCGAGAGATACTGGGCCACCAAAGTCGTCTCGGAGGTGGGAACATCACAGCTGCTCTGCAAGATCTCTTCCACCTTCTTCATCGTATCGCGATACTGCTGCACTGTGTTGTTCTTCTTGGACTTACCACTCAAGCACATGCGAAGCTCGGAGTAGTGGATTGACGAGTCCTGTGCAAGAGTTGGCATGGCTGCATGTTCTTCGCCGCGGGCAAATCCTGAAACACTCCTCTTTCCCAATGCCTGTCCTTCAACTGAAGCTGGAACTTCAAGGCAATGCAGTACTCTCCAAGGTCGGAGGCCAAACGAAAGCGATTTCGAACCTGGCATCGCACGAGTGCGCCCTAAGGCTTGAGAGAAGGCCACAGGCCCCACAAGGAGGCCTGGTACAGGAATAGCCGCTGCGCACGTTTCAGGAACTCTTGCAGTGCAGCAAGCAGACAACGAGCGTCCGGGAACTCCAAGACGATGCAGGACCTCACCGGTGCCAATACTGCTAGCCACGAGTTGCAATATTGAGCCGCTGCATTTATTTGCGGTTCGAGCTACTTGCGCTATCTCTTTGCAGTGCCCCTTGCGCGTTCGTTCATGTTTAGTACTTTCAGAAATTCTCGATCTCTCTCGCTTTTCGTGAAATAGCTCTATCCAAGCTGTACGAGCACGAGCTCGCAAGGGCCATGGCTTTATTTGGACGACTCCCTCAATGTTGTGGTTATTGTTTGGATCACATCCAACATGACAGCAACTCTACCTCATGCTGTCCTAAAACCTGCCGTTTATGTGAGGGTGTTATGCCGCACAAACCTCGCTTTCAGCTTCGACTTCAGAAAGGACTGCGTCGAGTTGTAAATAGACTTGATCCGGTCAGAAGTGCCCCCACCTCGTTCCCCCATTGGAGTGAGTTCCGACAAGAACATGCTGCATGGGGTGATCTCGTCTTAGACAACTGTAGTATAACACAAATCAAAGCCGTCGCTCAATATTGGTGCTTGTTTTTGCGGACGGTCCCTTCAGCACAAACCGGCTGTTTCTGTCGGGAGGCAAATTGGTTCGTCGATCGTGGCGCCTGAAGTACTTGTACTTGTCCTGCACCAGCAGCTCTTCGCGAGGACGGAGTCCTGCAGACGAGCGATCACCCACGTCGCTCTGCACTCATTGTGTCTTAAGCCGTGAAGCAGTGAGCTTGATCGAATGCATGCGGCGAAGCTCGAAGCAGCTGCTTGCTGCGGTGGACTGAAAGGATCACCCGATAGTGAACTGCTTCAACGAATTACACATCCGTGACGAGAACTGGCATTATTGCTCAACTTGATGGCTGAACATTGACCCGGCATTTTGGTTGCAGAGTCTTCGACATCACACCTCTAAACAAGCAATAACTTGCAATCTCAACCCCTGCCAATTATCTGCCATTCAGATTGCGAACATCACAATATGCTAAACCCCAGTCTGGACGCTGTTTGCTAGTCTCCAAGTCGCAAGAACTCAATTTTCAGGACATATCGCAGACGATGGGGCTTCAAGCAGAGCACATCTTGGCACCAAATCTACAATTCGACGCTGCCGAATCAGGCAGCACTACTGGAGCTGGTGCCTTCTAATTCGAGTCCAGAAATGACCAGCAACTCCCCAGGTCCTGCATCGATCGCCAGTGCCTTGCAAACTTCATGCGATCAGTCGCAGAGATGCAAAAAGGCTCAGAGGACTCGGAGGCTGCGCGCCTGATTGTCTTGCAGGAAGTCCAGCAGACCGATGGCCAGCACGCTCGGAGGCCCATTGGCATCAGGCTCGTATTGACACCACCTGGACTCTAGGACTCTAGGCGAAGGACTCCAAGTAACTCTGTCTAACATCCCGCACCCGACCTGGCCACTTCGTTGTGGTCCCTTTTGGATGAGTCGCAGAGCATCTGCTTCATGATCTTGTGGGCATTCACAGCTTGGTACATGAGCTTCTCGAAGTCCCGGTGCGGTTGGCGGATACGTCGCTGCTTTCTGGGCACTCGGCCAAGATCCTGCAGAACGATGCAGCCTGTGAGACGCATGTCTGCTACGGAATGCGGCATGGACCTGGCAAGCTTAATTGCGCGTCTTGTCTCCTGGACGTCTCGCAGCTGCCCATCTATGGCGATCTTGTCAGGGATGCGGAGAAGTTCATAGACAGCATCACTACGTTCTTGCACCTGACAGCATGGGCGATGGTACGAGTATCACAGTCAATGTTGGGCTTCTGGCCTCTTGATTGGCACGATTCTCATTGTCTTTCCAATAGTTCTGGAAGACTTTGGCAAGCTTTGAAAGGGAGAACTCTTGCTTTTTCTGGTCATACTGGTTGAGATTGCACCGAAAGTGTGCAGCCGCCCCCTCATTCAGGCTGCGCAGGCGCGCCGTCAGGCAGTCCTGCTGCTAGTTTGCTCTACCCAGTCAAGCAGCCAAGAGTGCATTCGAGGCTACAAGGAACCATCAACTTGATGTCCTGAACGACTTCACTCCTTGGATCAAGACCGATACAGGCTGCTATGGCGGCGATGCAGCGACTAAGGGCAGTGCATGGTCTGCTCCTCCTGCTTCTTGTTTACTGATGCTTCGGCTTGGTGCACGTCTTGCTGACGGCCTTCCCACTTTGACCGCAGATTCCTGCATGGACATAGGACATGCATGTGTGCGTGCAAAAAGGCCGTGGGCTCCGAAATCTGCGCGACCGGTCCTCTCTTTCTCACCGAGCTCCTGTGCGAGCTTGTCCTGCGCAGCGAAGTAGCAGAGAATTGTAGACTCAAGTTTGCGGGAACACATGCGGTTCCAACAAAATTACACCACAACGGATCATCCTGCACCCTGTTCAGGAGAATGTTGAGATCTTCGTTGGCTGCAAAGAACCGGTGGGCAAAGTCCAACCTCGCAAGCACCGACGGAACGACTGCTGCTCCTGAAAGCCAAATCCGGGTCCCGAACAGGGGGTCCAAGCCGCGGCTGTTCATGAAGTACTCCTGCTGGTAGGCACTATCCTCGTTCTCGATCGCATCCCGGTTGTCTTGGAGCCTTAAGCAAGCACAGAGACTAAAGGGAAGTCGTCGAATTTTCTCGGATCTAGAGAACTTGGCCACCCCTGTGCCTGTAGAGCATCGTCAGGCCCGGCCAGGGTCCAGCTTCGTCTGTTGGCGGCACATCCTGTGTCCGTCTGGCTGGTTGTGCCTGGTGGGCTGTTGAACTCAGTCGTACCCGTGTCCTTCAGTATGTCGGAGTGCATGTAGTCTGGTTTCCCCTGTCACTGTGACACATACCTATCGCTGGAGAATTCAACCACAGTCCAGCTGCAGGCCTGCAAGACGTCTGCGAACCGCATCAATGCAGCATGAACCACAGGGCCATGCACGTCGAAGGCCGGACTTGTCACAATTGGCAGAAGCACCTGGTCAGCACAAGCTGCACAGCCTCAGTTGTTTGGATGGCGACGCTCTGGGCAGTTGGGCCTGACGGATGTCCCTGCCAGTCCAAATGTCCAGAATCTGCGTTGCAGGATTCGAACTGGTGCGCTCCTCCTGCTGCAAAACCTCCCAAGCAGCTCACTTTCAAAGTCTGCACTAGTTGGTCAGAACACGACAGCCCGCCTCTCGAATGGACTGTAGCAGATCAACCCGCCGCAGAAATTTCCGCAAGCCACCTGACAAAGGCCTGAGGGCAGAGCAAGGCGCAGCAGCAAGTCGCGACAGCTGACACATGCTGACACGCTCCGGGCCTTGAGCAGTCCTTCAGGAGCTCGATGATCTTCGCCGTGAGGTCAGCCTTGGCTTTCGCCTCCTCCTTGTTGCCATGCGTCTCCCTCCGGCTATTCACCGTGAGCATCTCGAAGCATTCCCGAATCGCGTATTTGGCAAACTTATTCCGGAAGCTCTGGCCGGTTCGAGAATTGTCTCTGACGAACATCTTGATAAGGTCGATGACCTCCGTCAAGAATTGGCCTTGCTTGCCGATGCCCATGCCCACAGATGTGAGATAGTTCAGCAGCCATCCCATCTCTTCCAGGTCAAACTGGTCTGGAGTGGCTTCCAACACATGTCGGATGCAAATCAAACTCTCCACCCTGCAGGGGCAAGGTCTAAGGATAGAAACCGAACAACGAAATCGGAACTAAGCCAGGAGCTGCACAAAATTAGCTCTGTATGCTGAAACTTCTGCAACGTGGAGGAGCTGTGATGCGAGGGCATGTGTGATTGTAGCCTTCTGGCTGGCAATTGGAAGCTCCTCCTGGCTTCACGACAAGACATTTCCAGTGCTCCTGCTATTGACGAGAGGTCTGCACCGAATCTGCTCTGCGGCTGCCATCGTCCACAAATTACTTCTTTGCAGGCTTGCAAGCACAGCGATGTGGCACTAATGTTGAACCCTCTTACAATACCCATCCCTCTGCTTTGTGGAGTGTTGGAGAGCAGATCTTTCTTCCGCAGGGGGCTGAGTGGGTCCGGGCTGTGCGAGGAAGCGAGCGGAAGAGAGAGGGGGAGAGGCGATGCAGACAAAAGCACGGCACATCAGCTCACCAGCCTGACGTCGAAGTCCGGACACGTCACCAGGCCGGTGGTCGGCCCGATCAGAAGCCGCTCTCGATCGTTGGCATTCAAGAGATCCTCTGATGCTTGGTCGCTTGGGGAGGGGGCCCCTCGTTGTAGTTCGGCGCCTGCTTGCGTAATTAGCTTTAAGGAGACCCCTGACACTTTCGACAAACCCCCGCGCTGTCCGTCACCATCTTGAGGCTCGGGGGACTGTCTTCACGCCGTGCGAGATCGCTGAAGAGCTGGATGATTTTCACGATGCCCAGAAGTGTTCGATGCATCATGGTGTTCCTAGCCATGCACATACTTTGGCTGCAACATGATGCGAAGCCAGCAGAGGAACCGACAGATAGCGCAGAGAGAGAGAGAGAGAGAGCGATAGAGACTGGAGAAAGCGACTCGCTGACAACTTTCCATCGACGGGAGGCTGAAGCTCTCGGATCTCGGGAACCAGTTCGCGCCACTGGCTGTGCTCGTCAGGGTCCAGGCTTGTATATCTCTTCTCCAGTCGCTCACGAGCATCGTTCTTCATTCCATACTTCAGTTCGCATTTGCACCAAAGCTGCATGTACTTCTCATTCGGTACATCTTTTATGTACGGACCACGGATATATGGAAGCAGAATGGCTGTCTCTCTGAGGCGACTGATGACTTTGCTGAGCACACGGGGTCTCATGATGTCACTCTGCACGAAGACGTACACCGACTCGTACGAGATTGCCAAAAAAAGAGGATCTGGATTCGCACTCGAAGCCGCAACCTTGGCTGCAAAACTGTCAAGAAACGTGAAGAAGCTCTCTTTCTGCCAAGTCCGCCTGCATTTCACGATGAATGCGAGTGCACATGTTCGTGCCATGAACCTCCAACAGCATCTCGAAGACATCCATGCCGTTCTCGGCAAGAATATCATTCATTGCTTGATTGCCGATCTCGAGGTCTCCGCACTTGACCATGGTGTGAAGGGTACCAACAAGCTCCGAGATCAAAGCCACATCATCAGGGTTCCTGCAGATGCAAACATGCCATGCCGCCGCCGAAACAAAGTTTTCGAAAACATGCACCAATGCCGTGACCGAGGCGCATTTCGCTGAGCCGTGAAACCGGCAAAGGTGAGCCACCCTCCTGAAGCCGCCTGGCTCTGCCGACAATTGCTTCATAGCACTGTCCCGGCTAGGATGCCTTATGCATGTTTCCCATGTGGTTGGAGAATGGTCGATAAAGGCCGATGGGTTTCATGCTTCGGTTCCCCGAGCCGTTATCCTAGACTTGACACTACCAGACCCTAACACCCTGACATGATGGAACTACCGCCATGCAGGCCCCTTGATGTAAATTACGTGTGTGTCTGGACTTTCTCCCACCAACGACGTCGCTGCCAACAACTCTCCGAACCACTATTCTTTGAGTGCCACCTTCACAGACACAATGGCACAGTGATCGCACCCCTCCGGAGTGAGCTGGTCACCCAGACACATGCAGACATGCCACACTGTGCCTTCGAGCGCGAGCCCAGCAGTTGGTGTGAAGCTTTGCTTCCAGGAAGTGGCGTGCGGCCTGTGCAGTTCCGCTTCTGCTTAAAATCGGCTTGGCCTCTACCGGGCCACAAATCCGGGCACCTTTTTGCCAGCATCTCCGTACGCTTGCATGAGGTTCCTTGCCAGCTGAAGCAGTCTCACGAAGGCATTGTTGGCCTGCGTGAGCAGTGCAAGGCTGGTGATGTTTGTGGTCCACGGTACCAGGCCTCGCTGCTGCCTAAAAGCGCTGCCTCCGTGAAACCCTGCTTGTCCGATTCATGCCTAGAGTCGGGGGCCGGCGAGTCCAGGCAAGGGCAAGCGTGCAAGGCCCACGCGATCGACGTCTCTTCATGCCAAGGAACTTTGTAACGGCGAGGTGGGCATCAAAATAGGAAACGCAGTAGGCAGCATTCTGGGAATCGCTGGTGGCCGTCACTAGGACAGCAAGCCCGTCTACCCACGCCTCCCATGAATGATTTCTCCCACCACCCTCTTCTGCAGCCTCACAGGGCTCACAAAGGCACACGAGCCACACACGATCCCAAGCCAGTCCATGCTCATCTGCTCATGTTCATCCCTGTGCCTTGTTTGGCCTCTTCGGCGGACGGCCCAGAGGCCTCACGTGAAGCGTTCTTTTTGCTGAGCTTCTTCTCAACGAAGCCAAAGTCTGCGGGCTCTGCTGCTTGAAGCACACCTGTGTCGCTTCATCGCGCAATATGCTGCAATCTCTTCGGGGCTACTTTACCACTTGGTGCTTGACTTATTCATTGATTCAATCGGCCTTGACCATTCCCAGCTCGTCACTTGCCTCCACCACGAAGCCTCCGAAGCCCTGGTCCAACGGAACATGGCAAAGACATGCAAGGCGTCAGATTGTGCTTCGAAGATCTTCGAAGGCCTGGCGCACGCACTTCTCCTCGCAGCTAACGAGGTTCTTCTCCTGGACTTCGAGCACCTGGTCTCAGAACCGTCTGTCGGCGCACTGGAGCAAGCCCGAATGAAGAGCCATGGCGCCTCCGCCACGTCCTCAGAGAAGGCGTCGAAACCCTGGTAGATGGCCCACCGATCTGGTGGCTGGTCCGGTCCTGCACAGAAGGTGTGTCGGCCCCTGCGCCGAATTAAGGCCAGCATAGAGCCTACAGTCACCACACTTGACCTGCCTAAGACCTCTTTCGTTTCTCTGCAGAGAGCAGGCAGAAAAGGACGAAGGACGCGAGCTCGCCAAGGCGACACGACCTTGTCGTAGAGTCTGCCTGAGGCGCCGAGTATGCTCAAAGGTCGTGGGAGCGGTCTGTCAGCCGAGAGGCTTGGTCCAAATCTGCGGAGAGCTGCCAAGATGTGCCAGCTGGCTTCAGTTTGCTCCAGCTCGGAGTCATCCTCTGGCCTATACTTGGAAAGGTGCTCCGCAAGGCATCCATGTTGATTACATTTTCAATGAACCAAAAACGAGACTATTCGGATCAGCGGCTCTCGTGCACCATGTGAGGCTTCGTAACAGGCCATCGGCTTCTCATTGACGCTCTTGATGCCAACAACCAGCGCATGGCGAAGGTCACTGAACAGGGCTTCGGACATGCTGTCCATTCTGTCGTGAAGCTCCTCCGCATTCGCATCCACCCACTCAGCCAGCAAGGTGCCACAGCGTTCCGCCAGCTGCCTCCGTTGAAGAGCAGAGAGGCATGTCATACTTACAAGATTCACACAGTTACACGAGCGGGACAAGTTTCTGCGACCGAATGCCTGTTTCCACATCCCAGCATTCGCACCAGGCACATGACAAGAACATCTTGTACGCTCTCGAAACGTCCGAGCACCTTGCAAAGCTTGTCACACGTGAACGCCTGTCCACACTCCGAAGAATTCAACGCAGGTACCTGCTGCATCTTGTCAGCGAACTCTGCTGCAGCACGATCTGCTTCTGCAGGCTTCATGTAGCTTCTCTGCTTTCGTTCACCATCCTGCAGGCCGCCAGGCCAAAACGAAGCACTGACAGCAAAAATAAGCTGAATTGCGCAAGTCCTCCGCCAACATCAACCTCCGTCTGTCCCAGAAGTGCGCGTTCCACATGCAGGAGACCTGCGAACTCTCTTCGATTCCAACTCTGATGCGAGTGCAGGCGCTGCAAGATCTGTAGCTGGAAGTGCAATGCACAGCATAGAAAGCGGATGCGGCATGTGCCACTGGCGAAGTCTGAAGCTATGACCTTCTGCTCCAAGTCATACACATGCTTCAGGAGATCGTTCGGCTGGTCCAGCGACTTTCTCATTGCTTCTATAAGCTCGGTCAGCAAGGGCACCTTTCTACCACTCTGCTGCGCATGGGCGTTCCTATCACGATGTTCGAGGCGACACTTGAGGGTCTCTCAGATCCCGACAACTCCTGTGACTTCCTGCTCTCTGCCTCCGAGAAAGGGTGCACAAGTGCTTGGAGCGTGCGCATTGCAGAGCCGCGAAGCCGGTGCCTGGAAGTGCCTCTACAGGAGCATTTCTCTTCCGCCTCTCCTTCATCTTGCTACTTGTGGAACAAGCACTGCAACTCTTCGACAATCCATGCTGGATTTTGTGATGTCTCTCTTCGCCACCGTCCTCGACACGAACGTCGAAAATGGAGAAGTCTGCGAAGTTCAAATGCAGCTGGTCCGCTTGGACGCGCAACTGGAACCTGCAGGGAAACAGCCCTTGCTCATGGCCGTCAAGACGGCCCTTGGGGCCCCTAGGGTGCCCACCTTAGGTCCGAGTCGATCTGAAAACCGTCCAAGGAGGTCAAAGAAGTCAGTGTGCTCGCGGTGATAAACTGGTATTCCTTAAAGCCCTCCGCGAAGGGGTTCGGCCAAAACCTGAACACCGCTGCAGTGCGACGGAGCGGCACAGCTTAGCACCGGCCCGGCCTGAGCTCCTCCAAGTGGATCCTCTCCAGGTGCCCGAGCTGCTTCTTGAAAAGAGTCGGTCGCCAGAAGAATCGGTTGGAGGACAGGTCCAGGACGCGCAGCTTCTGCAGCTGTCCAAACTGGTCTAACCTGCTTCATGACACTTCAGCATGCTGCAAGGAATGTGTGGGCCATATTGTCAAGTGGCATATCGTCGATGTAATTGTGAGACAAGAGCAACTTGCTGAGCTGAGTCAGTGATGAGAAATCAGGGAGCTTGATGAGCTCGTTGTGACTCAGGTTTATCTCTGTCAAGCTCGGATTAACCAGCTTGACAAACGTCAACATATTCCGTGACGCATTGAGAATCTGCAAACGACGAAATTCGAAGGCCCTTGTGTCCTTGGAAGAGTACTCACACACTGACTCACTCACTCACTCACTCACTCACTCACTCACTCACACTCACGCAAACACACAACAAGAGACAGAGAGAGAGAGAGAGAGCGAGGGATCTTTCGAATCAGCTTGCCATTCGTGTCTGTGCACAGCTTCAACTTCTCAGGCAAGCATCCTTCATCGCATTAAGACAGCCAATGTCAGTCAACTTGTTCTTTGCCAAGTTTAAAACTTCCTCAGAGGCTCTCCACACCACATGCACGAAGCACATGAAGGCGCTCACAGGATCTTGTTCCTGTGCCAAGTGTCTATGTGTTCACGAATAAACTGCTTGTGCATAAGGCCATTCTCCTGCTCTCCTTCGAGCGTTTCCAAACTCCTTACGATTCCGCGGTGGGAGGCACACCACCGCCAGCAATTGCGCGCGGCTCGTGCGACACGAATTCTGAATAATGCAAGCTGGCAGCCATTGGGGACCACTGAAGTCTACTCGCCTGCGACTGCGCGCGGACCTGGCTTGCAAAACCTACCTAGGTGTCGTTCATCCCTAGTCAGCACGAGAATTTGTTTCTGTGGCCTGTAAGATGTCCAGTCCGCCCCAAACTCGGTAAAGAAGACTTCCGTACCCAGGGAGGAGTACCTGAAAAAAGCGTCTCGCCACAGCTACGAGTACGGCCGCAGCGGCAGCCCGGGCGGCGCTGAGGCCGGGGCTGTCCGAGTGCATTCTGGTGCTTTGCCAGTTTCTGCATGGCGCGGGCTCTCACAAGAAGGCGCCGCACGGCCGGGCTCGGGATGCTCGGGTTGGGGCACAAGTCGTGTCTGCGTCGTCTTTCGTGGGCTGCTACTGCAGGGGTTGAGGTAAGAACTTGCTGAGTCACGTGCGGTGAAAAAATGTGTTTGATACACAAAGCCTGATCCGAATGGTTGTCCTGAAATCCTGGTGCGATAACATTGCGAGTGCATAGCAGGCATTCGTTTTTCGTCCACCATAGGGACTTGCCTGTCAGGCACGTGCACACATGCCCAACACATGCAAAGTGAAACAACACCTAGCTTGCACTGTGAAACTGCGAGGACTATGATGCTCTCACGCATCACAGATGGCAGAAGCCCTCACTGCTTCGAACTATGTACCACTACCGTTACAGTTCACTCCCGTCTAACCTGTTTGATGCAATCAGTGCGGCAGCGAGAGGCAGGTTACAAGGTCGACCTCGCTCGCTGCAGGTCACCAAAATTCTATGCTTCTCCATGTTAAGTTTCAGACCTTCGGATGATTCGCATGAACTCTTCTTCGCTGACCTCGTTTCAGCATCACCCCGGTGTCAAGGCTCAACTTTTCTCTATATTGGATATTGGACCTCGCCATCATCGTCTTTGTCTGCCTCTCTGATCATTTCCTGCAGCTCTTCATCCGACATGGTCTCTCCAAGCTCCTGTTCCAGCGAAGTTGATGAAACAACTGGCCGTCAAGAGAATACTAATGGTATCTGGGAGACGACAGTTGCTTCAAGGAAATCTGGACAACCCGGTTCATCGAGCATCTGTCTGTCATTCAGCTCGGCCTTTGCAACAGCTTTCAGATCATCGAAGGAGATCTTTCCGGATGGCCCCTCGCAGTTTTCAAGACGCCTCTGATAGAACACGAAAAGCACGAGCACAAACCGAGCCTTGAAAAGCTGAAACGCTTTCAGTATCTGCTCCTTGGAGTCCTCACGACCAACGAGACGGTCGGCTGCTGTCCTGAGCTCTTCTAAGCGGCCTTCTCGCTCATCTTTGCTGTCATGATTTCCAGAAACTCGTTGAAATCCAGCATTCCCTGACAGGCACAGGCCGCAGAAAACCCTCCACGAGTAACTTCCGACATCTTCCGACCTTTTGCAAAGCAGGGGCCTGGCCTGCACGTGTGAACTGCCGCTTTTGTCTAAGTCTGAAACCTGGCATGCGATTCAGAGTTTCCTGCTTCGGGGAGAGGAGCCACAGCCACACTTTGCCACGTTCTCTTACTCCCGTATCTGGTGGACGACGGCATTCGGACTGTTGATACACACTGTTGGCTGTCTGCAGCTGCTGAAACTTTAAGGCTTGTTCGAAAGCCCCAGGAGTTTGGGAACTTTTACAGGATACGCATGTCAGTTCATCTCTATGCAAGTGGAGGCCTCGGAAAGGCTCAGTTGGGTGCATGCTTGAATAAAGTTTCCACCCGGAAGCATGACTGGTTTCCCAGAGGCTGCGTGTCGTTGCAATGCTTTCGCTTCAATCGGCCGGATGACGAGCTTTTTCAACTCTTCCTTCTTGGGCTCAAAACCCAAGGCTCGCAGTGCCACCTGTGACAAGTGGACGAAAAGCAATGCCCATGAGCTCATTTCTTGCCTTTAGCCTCTGGTGCTCTGGCCTTGAGCTCCTTGGCTTCAATGGTCCCTGTGCCATCCGTGTCGAAGAGGTCGAAAGCCTCCTTAATCTCGGCCTTGCCGACTCAATCAATGCAGCTTCCACAAGCAAGCACTTGTGATGGCCTTCTGCTCGTCTTTGAGCTCCTAAGAGAAAGGACGACCATGAGGCACGATGTAGTAAGGTAGTAGACTCAACTGGTCAACATGGGTCACTGCAGTGCGAAGTGAACCAGTTGAGGCTGCGGCAGTCCGAGTCCGTGCGCGCACCTTGCGGACCTTCGGCGGCATGGCCCTGGCCCGACACCGACACAGGTCCAAGGGCCGCAAGCTGAGAGCCAAAAGCAAAGACGAGCTCTGGCAGAGTGCGCGTCAAACGCAGAGCCCCGCATCTATCTGCATCCCTCTGCTGTTCAGACACTTTCTGCCTTCATCCCCCTTCTCATCCACCTTGTGTCACGCTTGCACTTGAACGTGCATGCTTCCGCTGCTGTCAGGAATACCAGGATCCAGTAGCATCGACCAGCAACGACTGGTGTCAGAAAACACAATTTGGCAGTACGGAATCTTGATGAAGCACGCATGTCAAGGCAAGGCTATCATTGCCTGAAACAGCAAAGAGCCGAGATGTCTCCCGCACAACTCGGTTCCTCTTCGACTGCTGCATTAGCCAGGTGCCGATTCTCAGCACAGTGCACGAACCCACGTGCTGGCTCTGCCGCAATACGATAACTAAAACTGGACACTGTGAGGGCTTGCAATACCCTGGTCTCAACAGCATCGCTAAACGAATTCGTAAGAGAAACGAAGGCGCCCACAGGCGTATCATCGTGGAGGCTGGTGCCTTAACCGAGCCAGCTGAGATTCGAAATAGGAACCACTGCGGGAGATGAAAGCACGCAGGTTCCGACTGGCCCCCCGCCTGCGGATGTCATGCCCACAAAAAAAAATTGTTTGGAAGTCTTCTCCGACAATCCGTGGCGATGCCCTCAGCTGCTACACCTGGAACCTGGACCTAGTCCCCAAGCGATGTCTTCGCTCCATGAAGCTTGCGGCAGAGGCAAAGCAAACCGTTATCATCCACTTGATGACACGGCTGGTCTAGCGAGCTCTCTCTCTCCCTCTAGACTTGCTGCCGCGGCAGCTTTGCTGGTCTTTCCTTGGACTGTTTAACTCAGTTTCCATGCCCGGACGACACCATCGGACCAGAGTTTCGCTCAGAAGAGCATTCTACGGAAACACCTAAGCATGACAAAAATATTACATGAGCGTTGCCCTGCAGCCGGGTGGATCTCTGTAGTTGTCATAGGTGCTTGGCACTGTGTGCAGACAACAATGCGAGAACCCAGAAATAGTTGAGGAAGTGCGCGGCACTCTGGACAAATGTCTCGCACTTCCAACTTCATCCTGGCATGCTTGTCTGGCGTGGTTTTAAACAGTGCAGCATTTCTCCTATCTTCTCAACAGCACTCCAGCACTGGAGACATATCACACAGGTGCTCAGACGGAGAGAGACAGAGAGCAAGAGAGAGAGAGAGAGAGAGAGAGAGAGAGACAGACAGAGACACGAAGAGAGAACCAGAGAGAGACAAAAAGAGAGAGAGACAGAGAGAGAGAGAGAGAGAGAGAGCGAGAGAGAGAGAGAGCGGGAGCGAGAGCGAGAGCCGGGGGGAGCACCTGGCACGGCGCGGCGGCCAGACCCTGTCTCAGTCTCGCTTTTTTCTTTCTCTGGGCTTATGGGCGAGCCCCCGCGTGGAGAACGACGTCCATTGAGGGTCTCCCTCTCTCTTGTTTTCTGCTGATTCTTCGTGTTTCCCTCTACATTTCGCTCCCTCACTATCTCTCTTGCTTTCTTTGTGCAAGTTAGGAAGCATCATGTCACCCCCCCCGGCCCCCCGTCCCCCTCGACACCTAGGGCGTGTGCCGATTGTTGAGCAATCAGCCTGTGGGCTAGAAGGCAGGAGGTCAGCCTCCTTGGGTGAGGTGGATAAGCAAATCAGCAGCCTCTCTGCTCGGTTATTGGTGATCACAGCTCCTGCCTTATACATCACAGCCAAACAAAGACACATGGATGGCAAGAATTGGTAAGAGGCTGTACACATTTATTTGTACAAATGCCGATACAGGGGAGGCCATGTCCTGTCATACGCCAGCAGTCGTGGCATCTCGTGTGAGCTCCAAACAGGCTTTGGGCTTCGACAAGCTTCAGCCACCGCACTGCAAAGAAAACATAGATGGAATCTCGAAGACATCGTCGGTCTGGGCTGAGGGAGTTGCAGCTTCACTCGCCATCTGGCATACTGGATCTCAAAGTCTTTCTTCGTGGTCTGCTCTCCGGCTCGAGGGGTCGTCGGATGGTCCTCGAGCCGGCAGACAAGCTCGAAGTATGCTGAATCGTGATATCGATTTGCAATCCAGCGCCTGGCTCCGCCCGTGCCGAAAAGCATGGGCTGACCATCGCCGGTACTCACGAGTTGCCTGAGGCCGTGCTGTCACTACCCTTCAAGCATGTGTGATCGCCGTTACTGCGCCAGCCTTGCCGATTCTGATCTGGTACTCTCGACGATTGAACCGTTTGGCCCATCCTGCAGGAGGCATTCACCGCTTCGCAAGCCGACAAGCCAGTGCCCAGATCGCCTTCACGAGTTAGCTCTCCAGCCGCCTCTTCGTTAAGCTTCACCTGAGCTTGCGGGGGGATAACAATGCGACATCCGCGTCTTAGTGTCAAGGGCCAGGCAGAAAACACCACCGCACCTCCCCGACTCTTATGAGCCGTCCAGCTTTGATCGATGTACCACCTCACTGGGCGAGCATCGTCAAGGCGAGCATCGCCAAGGTCGGTGGGCTCTGTGTCGGCCTTGCGGTTGCGGAGAATGCGCAGACACGAGCACAGAGCTGAACTCAGCTGAGTCCAGCTTCGCCTGAAAACAGTCTGACATGTAGCCAGCTTCTGGCTCTCCGCCAGAGGATCCTGCATCGCACCCAGTGCCCATGCTTTCGCAAGCCCTACTCATGTCAGCACCTGGCAGCTTCGGCAGAGGCCGAAGATGGACAGCGGACAGCCGCCCTTGTGGACCTCCGGTTCATGCCACGCATCATGAGCAAGTCAAGAGCCACCATGTTCTGGGGACTGCACGAGACACCGGCGGCGGTGTCGAATGCGATACGGCCATGCGCCCTCAGGCCGCAACCAAGCAGGCGGACTTCTGCAATCTATCCGTTGGCCTTCTGCGGCATGATCTTGGCGCAAACGACCTGTAAATAAGGCACATCCGTGTGCTCAAACGATTCCGAGCTATCTGCACTCGCCTCGCAGCGGCTGGAAAGGCTGGCTACGCCTCGGACAAACAACATCCACCCATCACCCATCAAAAGATCGATTTTCGTGGTTCAAAGGGCGTTCAATGCTACCTACCGTGGACTCAAGGATTGAAACTCGAGATATCCAGAAGTCTGCTTGAAGTGAATTGCTTTAATGCGGTCTACAACTCCAGTCTACTTCAGCCGTGGATAGTCGGTGCTATTGGTTGGCACATGCACACGACGTATGATCAGGTCAGGGCACCTCAAGTTGTTTCAGGTTCATGCGATCTTGAAGCATAGGGTCGTTGTTCGGCCTCGCCATCGTTTGTTCTGACCCCCCTTCCGTTTGCTGACACATCGCCTCAGTGCATGCTCACTCGAAGTTAAAGCATCAACTTTCAGATTGAAGACAATCCCATCCGATGTCTGCATGCTTCGGTAAGTCGTGAGCACCGCCTTCCTCGAAAGTCTGTAGGTTGGTGCGTGGTTTCCGTATTTGCAAGCTCTCGAAAAGGCTTGGACCGTTTCGGTATCGCTTAAGTATGCTCTCGTAAATACACATCGGTTGGACATGCACGTGGCCCGTCAATTTGTCCTATTGCTTTGGGTGAAAAAGGCTGCTACGGTCAAGCTGGGATTGCAAGCAAGCTCTGTCCAACATCAGCCCGTGTTTCCATAGCAGTCCGTGTTCTCGTTCACTGTTCGAGTCGGGACTGTCGTCGTTTCAATAGTAGGCCTTGTGCACATCTGACACTCACCTTCGTTGACCATCGCAAGAAAGGTCTGGTTGCAGACTCGTGCTGTCTACTAAAGATGAAAAGGTTCTGCCACCAAGATCGCTCCCAGAAAATTTGGCTCCCGGGTCATGGCACGTTATAGCTTTCGAATTTGAGCTTCGGCTTCTTTGAGATTGCAACAATCCTTGCTCTTGATGGGCATAGGACTGGGATCTGCTAATGACTGGAGTGGAAGACCTGACTAATGAAGGCCGTCCGTTTTCCTAATGCCAGACTGGCTGACAAAGCCGCTAAAGAAGGTGATGCTGAGTGATGCATGCAAAGGGACAGCAGAACAAACACAAGGCGCATCCAGCAGAAGCAGCTGAAACAATGGCGACAGAAGGGCATCAGTGCACTTGACTTCCCAGAGTGTCGGCACTGATTTCCATCTTGTTGCAAGCTCGGTGTCAGTTAGGCCCAACGACCGCGCAGTGTAACCACGGCTTCCTGCTTCCAGCTGCCAGTGATCTCGAAGACCATTGGCTGGAACTTCAAACCCGCAGCTGAAACGGCCCGAAATGCAGCTTGGTACCATGGCTGGGCGTGCTGCGGCAGCTGCTGCCAACGTGTTTGTCTCGGTCTGGCTTTCCATCCGCAAGCATGTCACAGATACGACTGCGGCCACGGTTAGGGATCTTGAAGCTTTTGGCAAATACAACTTCAAGCGGCAACAGAGCGACCGCGACCCCATTTGCGCTTCCTCTGGCCGCTTCGCGACCCAGTGAGCCCACGAGCACACCGGGTGGGGAACAGCGTCTCGTGCCTCCCTGCCAGCCACTCCCAAAGCGGTGAGCTCGCTGCGAGCTTGGCAGCCAAAGGGGACAAACTTGCCCGCAATGCAGGTCCTCCTCCGGGCCTGTCTCTGGTTCTCAAGCTGAGTCTGAGTCTTGGCTTAGATTTTCTCGGAATGCGAGCATCGATATGTTGTGTCACTGTCCTCCGACCCTGGCGGGCGTGTTGGATGGGCTTGGAAGTGCAAACCTCCCTTTATCCCTCCCCAGACCGCGCTGGATTGCAGGGGGGACGGTCGGCAGCTTTCCACGGAGGACGGAAACACACCTGGCGAACTCACGGACCACGGTTTTGGCGGATCAAGGCCGTGTTTTTGGGGGTGCCTCGCCGCGGCTGGAGACCACCCTTCCCCTTCGCCAAGCCACCTTCCACCTGCCAACCCCCGTACTTCCAACACTCTAACACACCCTTCATTGTCCCTGCCTAGACTCCGGCAAACGCAACCCCCCCACACCCCGTGACGTGCCAACACGGCTAACAACAAAAAGACTAACAAACAGCAACAGCAACAATAACGACGTCCATAACACATCCAAAACCACTCCAAACCAACACATCACCTGTCGCCGAAGCCCCGCCTGGCACAGCCGCTTTGAGCCGCCATCACAGATTGAGCTTAAAGTTACTTAAAGCTCAGGCGGCAGGTTTCCTTATTGACGCCTGCGGGGTCGACGGCTTGAGCCGGGCTCTTAGCTTGTCTTCGTGTTTGAGAGACAGCCCGCGACATGAACGGCAATTTCTGGCAGAATAACCTGGATTCTCCGAAGGATCTCAATTTTGGAGACGGGTCATGCATTCGACTTGAGACATGTGCCAGCTGGGATGCAACGTCGACAACTTAGCATTGATTTGACACCTCGAGTCTGCTGGCCGATTTGAAGCCACACGAGAGTTCGCCACTCCCTAGTTCGGACAAGTGGTCTCTTCATGCTACAGCGACAATTGCAAGCCCTCTTGGGGGGAGGTATATCTTGCTCGACAGGGGCTCCTGGAGACCCTGATCGTCGAGGGTTAGCGTAGATCCCTTCGTGTGGACCCCTTATTTCACAGACTCAGACCTACTGCAGGTTGCATACTGCGCTTATCATATCGTTCAGCCTGAGTGCTGGAATGTTTTGACTAGTTTTAACTGGAGAATCAAGAGCCGTTGCCGATCTGGCCAGCTTGAAGCTTCGCATGGGTGTGAGAAAGGTCCGGACGGAGTAGTGCCAGCAGCCGCGTGATGTAGCTGCATCAGCTCCTGCTCACACGGACAAAGGCTTCAGCTACAAAGAAACGAAAGAAGTCCTGTACGACGACTCTTTCGTCCAGAACGGACCATTCTGCAGACTGCTCTACCTGGCCAGCTTTCACTGCGCTTGAGGCTCTCCCGTTCATGTCCGAACCTCTGCAGCGACCAGCTTGCCAATCCAAATATTGATGGTGCTGCGGGGGTGTGGCCTTTGGCAAAGAAGGTCATCTTGCGCTACAACACGCACCGAAACGACAAAGCCTTGAGAGCAACGAAGCACTGAACTGCGCAAACTCACCCAGCAGGCGCCGAATTTCCCTTGCACGTCGACAAGTAGCCGACAACAGATACTTCAGGTCGACAAACTCCAAAAGTCGCGCGAGCCTCTCTGTCGTGGGCACCGACTCGTCTGCAGGTCTCGAACCTGGTGATGCCAGCGAAATCATCATTTCCAGAAACCGTTTGCTCTTGCCTGGCAGTTGCTGCAGTGGAGGCCTATGCGACAGGGCACATTCACAGCGCAGAGACCCGGCAAGCGGGGTTTCGGGGTGACCGCTTTGACATAGATTCAACAACATCAAATGTACCTCCCAACCTGCACTCCTCACAGCACAGGATCAGTTCTGCGCTGCACGCGGAGAACGACTACAATCAGCTGATTTCTCGCAGCCGCAGGAGAACAACATGTCTCGCTGGAAACTCCAGAAATGGGACGAGAATGGGGGTTGTGTTCGAAGTCGGAGCTACGGACACAGCCGGTATGCTCTCGGAATGTTGCGATAAGCGAAATATTCTGCAGCAAAGGTTTCGAACTTTTCCAGTGGTATAAAGCAAGAATTTGTCCGGTCCGGAATGTCCTCGAGCATGCTTTCTGCAGCAACGCAAACCAGAACAGCATCCACTTTGCGCTCCCTCCCAGGAAAGTCCGACCCGTAGTTCCTCTGCAGCTGTGCTGTCTGAAAGGCTGGAAAGACCTCGCGCCAGAGCCTGGCACTCGCACCAATTGGTGCACCCTCTTGCAGCTCCGAAAGACCGTCCAGGGGACTCATCTTGGAAAAGAAAACCCCCCCTCCTTTGTAACCTCCACGTGATAGTCTAAGGCCCATTCGACCTTTGACAACAGCTGCGGCGCTGGCAAGATCAGTGTAGTGGTATAACACACGCTCTGTCCGCGCAGCTCTGCTAGCAACAGCATCCAGGGTGCTTTTGAAAAACGAAAGCTCCCAGTTGGTTGCATCCTCTATATAATCTGCTCCCAAACCAAGACGCACAGTGGCCTCGCGTTCCTGAATATCTTCCTGTTCACCCCGGCCAAGCCAGCCAGCCCAACCCATCAAACCTAATGAAGCGCTGCTCATGCGCAGGAGCTGAGCTCGCTCTACGTCCATCGGGTCGGAAGCTCGAGCACAGAATCGAAGACGTTGACCAACGTGCCACCTCCGCTCTCTGGGCACCTTCCAACCATGTGATGAGAAGCTCGGTGTTGGCATCAACGACAACGTCGCAGCGGTGCAAATGAAAGATGCAAGAGCAGGCCGAAAAAACGTCATCCATCGTGCCATGGCGTTACCGCAAGTTTGCACCTGGCTTTCGGCTTCACGATCCTGAACCCGACTTCAACACAACACGACACATCTGAGCTGAACACCTACGGATTGGATAACACCTGACTGCGTCCTGAAGCGCTTCCTCGCGGCTACTTTACATCGTCAACCTCCTCAACCTGCACACATCTCCTCCATAACTAAGCTCCTCGCAACATGTGCTTCTGCTGCAGGAAGAAAACGACCAACAAAGTCCAGTTGTGGAGGCCTTGACTCTTGACTTGGGCTCAGGGGTTGAGGGAGGAGCACCCTAAGCCTGTTGTTCGAAGGTGGAGACAGCGGCACCGGACCCAAAGCCTCAGGCGCCAGACTTCCGCGGGCGCTCAAAGGACAGCAGTCCACCATCGCTGGTCCGTTCTCCGGCCCTCCCTTCGCTCTTTCTGGAATGCACTTGCACATTTCTGAGCTGATGGACTTCACTCGACGGATCAATGGTCGAGCATGCGGCGTCAAAGACAATGCGTCCCTGTCCAAAGCTGCACTGTAGCTGGGAAGGAGGCAAAAGGGGCACATCGATACCTGACAGACAGAACCCTGTAGTTTTTATCAAGCCAGCCCAGGCCGTAAGATCGAGTCGAAGACGCCCGTGTGCTCATCCCCTTCAAAGATCGCAATCTCCTGAAAGTCTTGGACGACGTGGAGCGAAGGCTTTGCAAGCGACACTAGCATGGTCCTGTCTTGCCCCATGAGGACCGCCAAAGTTGGAGGCCACCAGCCTCCGGGTGCACAGAGACTGGGCTTGTTCACTGCAGCAGCACCGGCTCGCGGCTGACCTGAATCCGGGGGATATCGCATCCTGAGAGAAAGTCAAACTGGGTCCAGCTCCGCCAGCTCGGCATCTCAAAATGCGCACGAATTCATTCACCTTTGAAGCAGCTTCGAGCTTCTATGAGTTTCTGCAGTCCGAATAAGCTGATGGTCAAGGCATTGCTTCTTGCAGCCGCGACACTATGCCCGTGACCGCTGGGGGTATCTCGAGGCCTGGAGGCCTGGGGAACTGCGACAAACTTTGCTTTCCATGCTGTGAGATGATTTCTGCACAATTTGTTGGGCTGCTTGCTCTCTTTTGACCAGCGCCAAATCCAAGATAGCAGGTGCCAAGCCGGTGTCTGACAGGCATGAAGTGACGATCACAAAACAGGCTCAGAGTGCCTTTGAGAGGATTCCCCCTCTCCTGAAATGAAAGAACCGAAGGGCCGCAGAGTCCATCCTCGGTTTCTGCAGCCACATTTGCAAAAAAGAAAAGAACGAAAGTGCACCAATGCAGTACACGGTCTCACGAGCTCGGCACCTCTCGGCAACTCCTCCAAGGCAATTTTCTGAAGCGTCAGAATCAGCTGCCAGCACGATGGATCAAAAGCCAAAGCCTCGAAACTTGAAAGCTCGAAAAGATGTCACGAACTCACTCACCCGAGGCGATGACAGATTCCATACTGCAAGAAGCTGAGATGCCCTTCGGTCACTCGAATTAAGCCTTGCTCTGGAACCGGAACACATGCGATTATGGGAAGAAGTGCACGTTATCGCCCAAGGTCTGTTACAAGTCTACGCACGTAGCATGTATCAACCGCCGACGGTGCAGTACCGAATCTTCTCCGCACTACCTGATTCTACCTGTGCGCGGCACCTCGCAAGGCATTGCACCTGAACAACTGAGCCGAAAGAACAATAGTCTGAGATGTGGCGACGGCATGTTCAGAAAGCAAAGATTGAGGCACTTGGACAAGCATGAATCACGCAACCAATGTGTTAACCACCTGGTTTCAGCCAACTTGGAAGAATGTTGCATCACCGTCGCTGTGGTCTGTTTCCAAGCAAAAGAAAACCGGTTTCATGCATACTGCACCTGTTTCCCTTAGAGTTTGTTGCTTTGCCACACCGCCAGGGCTTCGAAACATGACACCTCAAAATTCACTTCGTGCTGTCAGGTGGACACACAATGTGGAACCTGATCAACACACGTTTGCCGAACTTCATCGTCGTCATCAACCACTCAACCACACCCCTGGCCGCTTTCTGTGAATTTCTAATGCTACCAACGCATGTATACATACATTGAAAAATACTCGCCCCCCGTTCCCAAGATCCATCTTGTTTGCCTTTCTGTTCCATCTCGTCCTTATCTCTTGACAACAATCACGAGGAAACATGCTTTCGTCTATCTCGACACGAAACAAGATGGCTTTTGAAAGTCCGAGAACGCCAAGTTAATGTTTTCTTCATCAGAGAGCGACATGCATCAGTGTTGGATCCCTTCGCCGGCGATCAGAAACAAGCTCATCTAAACGTTTGCCATTTCGAACTCTTACATTGAATCAAAAGACCTGTTGTACCACTTCATGCGACAAACTGATTTTGTCTGTTTTTGAAAAAAGGCAAACAATGAGCGCAAGGGGGTTGGCCCATATCCTTCCGGAAAAATGGAGAGCTGCGCGAAGATCGCAGGATGTGGCTGAAGGATTCGTCCCTGTATGTCAAGTGCAGTGTTCAGATTCGTATGGGCTGCATTCGAAAAGCATATGTGCCTTGGGCTTGACACGAAAGAGCACATCGGCCTTCAAGAACTTCTCGAAGAAGCTCATGAAGAGCAAAAAAGTTGCACGTCCTGTTGGAAGCACTGCACATCCTGCCGACGAGAGTCTTTCAGGATTGGTCGAACTCAGAGTGCAGCTCCAGGGCAGGGGTCGTTGCGAAACTTGCGTTTTCTGGCTGCTCCAAAACTTTGCTACAGAGCTCAGCTTCTGTGAGTATGCATATCATGAAAACAAACGACGTAACCACTTTCTTCGGCCATGCAGCTACGCAGCAGGCACGTCCAGGTGGGAAGAGAGAACCATGAAATTCTGCACGGTAGGCGAAGCGTGGTCGCATCCTCCTTTGGGGCTTCAAATCAAAGGTGAATACAGGGGCGTTTGCGTTTAAGCCTGCGGAGCATGTTTACCGAAGAAACCGGGGTTCTGGGAGTGGTATCTAAATCGGGATTCGGAAATGGCGGGTTCGTTGCCCAGATCTCTCACAAAATCGGGGGTTCGGGATCATGTCTACTTCTGTCACAAAACACTGGCCGTGTCCAGACGGTTGGCCGGTGGTTTCCGGTTCGGGCAGACTTGTTCTGCTGAGTTTTGTGACGGATCATGATCTATCGCAAAGTCCGGTGTTTTCGATCCTGTTGCCGTTTGTGATAGATCCTGGTTGCCCAACTCACAAAACCCACAGTGAATTTTCGTGACAGATCCTGTCTCGACCTACTGGGGAGGCCCGTTGTGGTGCACACGTTTTCGAAGGGGTTTTCGGCCTTGAACATGAGCC